TGAATTCAGATATCGAATTCATCGTTACCGCATATTTCAAATTATGTCTCTCCATCAACAGTTCTGAAACTATTGCGATGTTGTTTGATAAAAAAGAAGCACGCAATCGATGCCACATCTCCTTGGACGTCTATATCGAGGTAAATACCCTTGGTCCATACGTCAACTCAAAAAAATCGTGGTTTCATATTAGCTTAGGTTAGGTTAGGTCCAAAGTGAGTGAGTCTATTCGACTCTCCATCGCAAACTGCAAGGGTTGATTGTGGCTCACTCTTACTCACACTGGACCAAATACACCCAGTGGTCTTTCAGGTCAGATGGTAAGAGTATGGCTCTGCCGAACTCTAAACAAACACAAGGTATGTGCTCTGCTATTTCAGCATTTTCCAAACAGAGATGACATACTTTTTCTTTCGACAGTTCAAGTCTCTGCTTATGATGATTCAAATGACAGTGACCTGTAAGAAGGCCTGTTGGAGTGAGCCAATCCGGGAAGATTCTGCCAGAAGCCCATAAATCTTTTTACCATCCAGGTGTTTGGGATTTTGTTATAGAGCTTAGTTATGTTATACAACATGATGATTATCGAAACTTAATCTTTGTATTCAGTAGTAGCGTAAGTCTAGATTTGAATCGTACGTTCAGGTGTTATGTTAGGCAAAGCCTAAACCGATGCCAATGTGAAGTTCTGGTCCGATGAAGCTGTTTGCGGCCCCCTTCTTTGTGAGGGAGTCTGCAGCACCCTCCTTTGTAAGGGAGTCTACAGCCTCATTGCCTTCCAGGCTAGTTTGGCCAGGAATCCAGACCAGAAGCAATATGTTAAGTCTTCCTATCGAGGAGAGTCGTTTATGGCAATTTAATACTAATTTAGACGTTGCTCGATAGCAACCAAAATCTTTCAACGCCGCTTAACTGTCCAAGAATATTTTATGAGGTTGGATTCGTCCAATCTCTCCGCACACAATTCAATAGCGTAAATTTAATTTGAAATACAGTCGCATATGTTCCTAGGCAGGTTGATATCTCTGTCCTGGGTCTGCGACTGAAAACATCTGCACCAGAACCGGAAGGTGTTTTTGATCCATCTGTGAACCAACAACAATCTGCTCTTAATAGTTCCTTCTCCCGGAGGATCCAGTCCTCTCTACTCGGGATTAGTACTTCATAAGGCATGAAGTCAGAAGTCATTTCCAGAATGCTGTGAATTCCAGTGTCTTGCACTCTGCATTGAATTGGTGTGTGCAATTAGCAATGTGCACAAGTCTATATGCAGTCCATCTAGCCTCTCTCTCTAGTGAAATGTGGAGAGAAGGTTTCATATTAGACTCTTCTCTGAATTCCAATAGCTACAACAGTCTCATCAGAAGACTTGCTTTCCCATCTTCGAAACCAATTTATGCAATTTCTAAAAGAGGCTATCATTGGTTACAAATGGTTCAAAACTCATGTGTGATCACGTATCCGAGCCGCTAAGGGAAATTACAGTACAATTATTCATTACAATTCAAATTATTACAATAGACAAATTATTCATACCTACACTCTGTACCATTACATTATATGAACAAATGAACCACCCTATCTTTATGGAAAAATAACCTTCCAGGCTGAACGTACCTGAACGTACGATTCAGATCTAGATTTACGCCACCGGTGCAATCAGTTTCGATCGTCTTTCTTGTATAACATAACTACGCTCTACAACTAAATTCAAAATGATTTGAAAAAGGTGTTTTATCACTGTGAATTTTTGTTAGTTGTAATCCATAACTTGTTATTATGCTATGTCGAAACTTTAGAGATTGATAGTCTTCTATAACATGTAAATTTGCATGTTTGGTTGTTCAGTTGGTTGAGTGAAAGAAAGCACTTGATCCATCCCTCATCGAATGCGAACCGATACTTACTCTGCCCTTTGATAGGTCATTTTCCCTAGCTCTATTGTATTTTTGTGTGATTCTTCCAATAAACTCGTTCATTATTGTTACTATTATCATCTAATCCGTTAGTGTATCTTAGTTCATACGGAAGGACAATTAACTTTGAATCGGTGTTTATTTGAATAGTCGAAGTTTTACCAAAACTCTAATCAAGATAATCTATTATATTTGGAGGATACCCTTTGCTTTCAGCTATGTCCCTAATAACATTCTTCTCAATATCGTAATTTTTTTTACTCAGGGGGAACGTATCAAGCCTATAGACAAAATAGTTTAGTCCTGCCATTTTGTCTTGTGAACAAAGATGTGAGCTATCAGGAATATATTCAAAAATACTGGATAACAAATTCTGGATCGATCCTGATTACTGATTACAGAAATATAAAAGAGTACTGTAGAAATATGTAACTGTCTTATTCTTTGAACAAGAATAAGTAATCAAGTGCTTTCGAGGGACTAAATATAAAATATATAACTGTAGACAAATATCCCATTTCAAACAGTCTAGTTTTCACTTATAACCCAGCCCACCAAAAAAAAAGTTTGTCTTGCTGCCGAAAAAAATCAACTGATTTTGGTGAACTACATCTGTGCTGATTCCAAAAATACAAACCTTTTCTTTGTATCAGCTCTAGTTTTCGAGATATAACATACTCATCAAACAGTTAAATATTCTTTCATTTCTGTATATTCCACCACTATAATTGCAATATGTTTATAAACAAACTTAACATTAACAAATGCATAGTGACTTCTAATTAAAGTGTATTTATTGGATATGCCCATAACATGAAATTAACGCTAATTGCTTCTTACCTATTGTCCGATAAGTAAATAGTGTTTTCTCGGAAATAGCCTTAATAAATTCCTATAAAGTCGACTGCATTCCATTGTAAAATTTAGTCTGAACTTGAGTTTCGTTGCAAGAGTTTGTTTGTGACAATTGAAATCCATGGCTTCTAAAAGCAGGCATTGTGGTGTGAATAACCCGAACGTTTTTTGCTACATATGTAGCGAGTACATTGTAAAGGAAAGTGGAAAACCAGTTTGTGATTCTATAAAAAGGGCATATTAAGCCTATTTTGGTGTTCATTTAGGAGATCAAGATAAATCCTGGGCTCCACATGTAGTGTGCAAAACTTGTCTTGAAAACTTGCGACAGTGGATGAAAGCACAACGGAAATGTTTGAAGTTTGGTGTTCCAATGGTATGGGGGTAACCAAAAAGTCATTTTGACGATTGCTATTTCTATCTTGTGAATATAAAGGGCTTTAATCATAACAATCAACATGCGTGGACATATCCTAACCTGGATTCAGCAATAATACCAATTCCACATCAGCTTGAGCAGATACCCATTCCAATATTCAGCAGCCTACCTACGTTACCAGAGGATAATGTCGAAACGTCATCTGACAAACTACAGACTAATAGAGTTGAGGAAGACGACAGTGATTTTGAAGGGGATTCAACACGTTCTGAGCGCTTTACTCAGGAAGAGCTAAACGATATTATTAGAGATTTGAACCTTCCGAAGGATTCTTTCGAGTTGCTTGCCTCCAGACTAAAGAAAAAAAAGAAACTTCTTCACCCAGACACCAAAATTATATATTACCGTAATAGAGAAAAAGATCTTTTGCCATTTTTTTCTCAGCAAGATGATATGGTTTTTTGTAACAATATTGAAGGACTGTTAGAAAAATGGGTGTATCGGAGAACACACCAGGTCACCGGCGTCTTTTTATCGACAGTTCCAAACGAAGTTTAAAGTGTGTCCTTCTACATAATGGCAACAAATATGGAAGTATACCAATTGGGCATTCTATAAAACTGAAAGTAGAATTTAAAACAATATCGCTGGTGCCTAAAAAACATCAAGTATGACCAACATCAGTGGGCGATCTGTGTTGATTTTAAGATGGTGAACTTTCTCCTGGGACAACAGGGTGGCTATACAAAATATCCTTGTTTTCTGTGTCTTTGGGCTAGCAGGACTTAGGACAAACACTGGAGTAGAAGAAAATGGAGTTCTAGAAATGCTGTTTTAGTTCAAGGAGAAGCTAACGTAGTTAACGAAGGGTGGCTATACAAAATATCCTTGTTTCCTGTGTTTTTGGGATAGCAGGGCTTAGGACCAACACTGGAGTAGAAGAAAATGGCGTTCTAGAGATGCTGCTTTAGTTCAAGGAGAAGCTAACGTAGTTAACGAAGCATTGGTCGAACGAGAGAAAATAATATTACTTCCGTTACATATTAAACTAGGGCTGATGAAACAATTTGTTAAGGTACTAGACCAGAATCGTCCTTGTTTTGAATACTTGTCCAGCGAATTCCCTGCACTTAGTAAAGAAAAATTGAAAGCCGGAATATTTGATGGGCCTCAGATACGACAACTTTAAAAGATTCGCATTTTACAGAATCGATGACTGAAATTGAGTGTAATGCATGGTGCTCTTTTGTGAAAGTTGTGGAAAATTTTCTTGAAAACAAACACGGTTTTCATATAAGTATTTACATAAGGTCACATTGGTGACCTTAATGAGGAAAAGTGGGTTACAGATTTGTGCTGCGATGCTGGTTACGTTACATGAAAAATTAAGTTTTTTTGGCAGATATGTGTGATGATTTCTGTAAGTATATTGTTATACAATAAATATCTTAATTTTCATTCGTGTTTTGTTTATTTGATGAGTAGCAGCACTACATATATGTAGGTAGTGCTGCGTTAAATTACCCTATACGTTAGAAATGTGATCTGTTGTCGTATTTTCTCAAAACGATCTGATGGAGCAAATCTGGTGGCATTTTTGGATTCAGTAGACTCAAATTACCTAGAAACAGTAAAAAAATCCCGGCAGCAAACTGTGTGTTTACCAGTGTAATTACAAATGTAAGAAGAAGGTAGACTAAGAGATTTTAAAATAAATTTCAATTCCTGTATTGTAATAACTTCCACTGAGAAAGTTATTTGCGTTCTTTTTGCACGAAGTCAGTAGAGTTCGTTATCAAAAATAATATAATTCAATGAACAAGTTGGATGAAAATGAGAAAAATATCACATATTCTTAACATTTTATTTTCAATAGCTTCCAAGAGATTATTAATTTATGATTTTTTCCACACATAACCGTTCTTTTGAATTTAATAATTCTATTTCATCATCTGTATCAATTGAAATGAAAAATTTAAATGTTTTGATCTGGAAAAAATACAATACTCACCAACTCGGCTTCATATGCTCTATTAATCAACAGTTTATAATGCTTTAAATGAGTATTAGGTTGTTTCAAAAAGAATCGTAGAGAAAAATTGGCTGAAAATCGCTCAACATTATATAGTATGTACTGAAACCCGGCAAAAAAATAATTTGGAAATCATCAATGTATAGAATACACAATTCTATATCAATTAGCAGGTATAATCGTATACCACGATACAGTAAAAGAAAAATGTATTGAGATATTAAAACGGACAAAACTTTTGAAACAACCTGATAGTTCCTATCACAGTAATCTACACATTCAACATATAAAAGAACACTGAACAACAATACAGTCAAATTCACAATAATTTTCAACTGAAAAGATTTTTTTATTTCTCTTCAACAATTGTGTGATTCCTCATGGGATTGGACCACCATATTCCACCAAATAACTACAAGCCAGCTACAAAAACTATTCTAATTAGTTCAATCCTTTCCGAAACGAGCCAATGTTTTTTGAAAAGAAAAACGTGTTTCTTTCTATCTGTTTTTCTCTAAGTATTTTCCAGATGAATAATATTTCAAAATTACTGAACAGAATACCATGAGGGCATCCACTTCTGTTCTTTATATAAATTGTTCCTAAAGCTTGTTCTTCGAGTTCTATCATCAAGTATGAAAAAAGCTGGATCGGCTTCTGAAGACGAATACCAACCATCAGTGTCTGAAGATATAGATCCCTTTTTTTCCGCAGGTCTCCAACTACCTGAAACAGCAATAAGAAGCAGGAAGTTAATGAAAAACTGAAGGAAACTATGATAAAGTTACTCAGTTACTGATGGATATAGTAGTAGCAAATTGCAAATCAAAGATATCGCTGTAATACTAGGTTCTCAAATCTGAAAAGCTATTTTCTTGTTGAATATATCAAACTCAAACTATGTTCCTCTTCAACTATCTATCAATTCCAAAAATGTGGAAAAAACTTTTTGGGTTTCAAATTCTACATCTTTCTATAAAAACTGTAAAAAACTTCCAAAAGAAGGAAACAAACAATCAAGTTCAAAATGAACTCTCTACAAAGATGGGAGTGTTAAAAGATATTTCCGAAATAATTTTTCAATGTTTTCAATGAAATGGAAGACGTAGTTATTTATTTTTGATTTGTCAGTTTTCAATAGTTCTGTCGAGTCATCAGATTTTTTTCCTGTTTCCACCAATAAAACAACGGCCTAAAACTTTATATCACCCACAGAAGTTTCTTCCAGATACAAACTGAAATCCCATTCAAATACTTTCAAATAAATGAACATTGAATAACATCTGAAAAATGAGAAATAGAACTTTCTCTATGTTTTTTACCACTTCTATTTGTAACTAATGTTACGGCAGTTTCGTCCCCTAAGGACATTTTCAAAAATAATACAATCTGTTTCTGTTTAAAATCTGTTATTCCGTTAATCAGCTGTTGTCCCCATACGTCCCCATACGAACGAAAATTAGAAGGGCTAAGGAAAAATGATATTAACAATTGAGTGTACAAGAGTGAATCATAAGTGGTTCGATGATTGAAAAGCGGTGAAAGGGAGTAGTGAAGGGTTGTTAGTATTTGACAGAAGTTGAAATATATTCTCAAAGAAAAATACTGACTTATTTGAATAAATTCATTGATTTAAATTATCTCTTTTATGATAGGAAACATCCTAATATTGTTCCATTTCACTTAATGGAAAGCACGCTTGGGTAAGAAGTGAACAAAATACCCAATGCTCAACATAATTGTATTCGCGAGGCAGTCCAAAATAAAAGAAAAACTAGTCATGTAAATTCCTTCTGGCCTTGATGAAGTGCCCGTCATCGTACTTGAAAAGTGTGCAAATGAACTCGCACCAGTAAGAAGAATCTTCCAAATAACTATAGACCAGTCGCTTTGCTATCAGTGATATCAAAAATCATAGAGAAAGTCGTAAACTACCATAACCTCAAATAGTTGGGAGGCGTCAACATCAATATAGCTTTCGGAAACAAAGATCAATAGGCGACCTCTATCGTCTATGTCACCCATATTTGTAATAACGCAATCGTGAAACATGGTGAATCAAGATCTGTTGCGCTTGATATTTCTAAGGCCTTTGACCGTGTATGGCATGATGGTTTGCTGGTCAAACTTCGATGCTATGGCTTGTTGGATCATTTTTTTGTATGGCTCTTCAGCTTCCTGCAAGTGGCTGCCGACGGATAATTCTCGAATAAGTTCGCCATCAACGCTGATGTTCCCCAGGGGTCTATATTGTCTCCAAACCTCTATATCAAGGACCCATTGGAAAAAATCAAGTATCCTGTATATTGCTTTGCTGACAACAGCACACTTGTCTCGTCATTCCATTTGGATTTCAGGACGTCGGCTACGGAGGGACATCTTCACCGATAGCAGGAGGTTGCGTACCTTAATGAGGATCTAGAAGTGATTTCGAATTGGGGTAAAAGTAACCAGGTTCAATTCAATGCCACAAAATACCAGGTATAGGTTTTGTCCAAGAAGTTAAATGTCTCCGAACCGGATTTAATAATTTCAGGTCAAACAATTCCGCTTTCTGTTTCGATAATTTGTTGGGGGTTAAAATGGTCACCAATATGTCTTGGCACTATCATGTGGCTGGTATTACAAAGGCTGCTTCTCAAAAGTTTGGAACACTGTTCCCAACCAAAAAACTGTACACCGCTCAGCAACTTTTGATGCTTTATAAATCTCAGATCAGACCTTCTTTGGAGTATTATTCTCAGGTATGGAGGTCTATCCCAAAAATATCCTGAAGTTGCTGGATTTCATGCAGAAAAGGGTCATTTGCCTGATTGGAGACCCAAACATCACGTGCAAGCCTGGAACATCGAAGGAAGAATGGAGATTTGTCTCTCTTTTATAGATACTTTCACGGGAAGTGTTCAAGTGACTTGGCACATTTGATTCCATCAAGAGCGGTACATGTCAGAAATACGAAACGGACTGTGGCTGCTCATCGTTTTGAGATTCAACTCAGTACACCTCGAACTTTACTGTTTAAGAACTTTTTCATCTGGAGATCTGCGTTTATGTGGAAGAAACTTCCTGAGAACGTTTTTCCAAATGTATTTCAGCAATCTTCAGCGATTAAAATCCAATGTGAATCGCTACTTCTGCAAAGGCATTGCTCTGAGAGCGCCTTGAGGATTTTCCTGTAGTGCTTGTGTTTTGTCCTTTAAAAAAAATCTTTAAAAAAATCTGTTTAAAATCTGTTTTTCCGTTAATCAGCTGTCGCCCCCATACGAACAACAACTCTCAGAAATTGAGAAACTTGTGCGAGCTAAGGACTAACGAGGTCTTACCTTTCAACGTGTGATTTCTAACACGATCGAAAAAAACATGTCTGATATTAGGAATTTTTTTTAATCATTAAGTCAAGTTTATTGCATAAAAATTTAACGTTATTGATGTTTGTGTTATTTGTTTATGATTTTTTTTATTTCTTATTTGTCAAATAACATTCGAAAAGTTACCAAATATATTACCATATTAATTGACATTGTAAATGAGACATGGTAAATGAGTTCCTACAATAAATTGCTTGAATGTCACAAAAGGTAAAAGATTCACCAGTTTTTCAAATAAACGTATATTTTGTCATAGTCCAAAGACTCTGACACATACAATTGGCCTAGCAGAGACAAATTCATATTATTACCGTGACAGAGAAAATCACCATATCACCAATTATAAACAAGATGACAACAGCGGTGAACGAAATACCAACAGTTTCAACTGTAACACATTCTTCAATAAAAACATGTTGACTCAATGGTTTGAAGTACGTAAACTTTCGGCAATGTACGTGTATTTCATGGAGTGTAATCCAGTGTTCATCAAACATAAGATGATTGCTGAAGTATTTAAAGACTGATCAAGAGGTTGTGGCTTTCTATTTCTCCATCTTTATAGTATTTAGCCAAAACTTTTCTTTCCCACAAATGATTCTGTCCGAAAAATATAACTTTCTCAATCTCAAACCATCAATACTTCTAATATGAAGGATGCTTCAAATAATCCAGCTGTAGAAGTGATCAAGGAACTATGGGTCGGTAAATTCATTAGACAGAGCGCTTAACTCCAATCCAAGAATTTCCCCTTCAAGCATCAAATCATCTGAACATAGTTTCTAGTTGTTACAAAGTCACACATTGATATTGTTTTCATTTTCATGTTTAGAGCTCTTCTTTCAATTCTCTCAGTATATTCATCTATGCTATATAACATTATGTTGAGCTGAATAATAAGTGAAAATAAATACACCCTTCAACAGTTGGAGCATAGTTATGCCACAAGAAACAGAACAAAAATGTTGGTACGAATACAGACAACAAAAAAATCGGTGGGACAACGTTGCTTCAGTTTTTTAGCAAAAATTCTAAAAGTCCACTAGATACTCGTTAGGACAACAAGAGGATCTTGGGGTTCTTGTTGAATACTCTTCGTGAGCAAAACAATAGCAAAATCAATACTCCTGACCGCTCTGGACTGAATGAATCCGTACAGCCCATCTCGTCTTGTGTTTGTAAATCTTTTGCTGGAAAAATCCTCACTTGTTTACTTTGTGGTAAATGTTCAAGAAGTACCGAAATCTTATGTGAATTTCTGGAACTTCATCTAGCTTTTCCTAATATGACTAATAACCAATCCGTGCATTTAACAGGTGATGATCGACTGTATTGTCAAACATGCGCCAAACTAACTGACTGTTATAAGGAAACAAGTAGAGCTGAGGCACCAGTCAATCTAATAATAACACTGATGATTTTCAAACAAGACTCAACCTCTAACGGAAGCAAGAAACTCTTTGGAAGGTTCGAAATAGATGAACATTTCAACCTAGCAGACCACACTATTATAATATTCATGCAGTCATTGTTAACTGTGGTTCTGGCGTTGAATTTGGTCATTATTACGCCTTGGTCAAAGACGAAACGGACTGGTTTAAGTTTGACGATAGTCGTGTCACGAAATGTTCTGGCGATGCATTGAATTCATTGGAGCCTCTGGAGACACCCTACATTTTGTTTTATAAGAGAAAGGACATTGTTAGGTCAAGATCTTCAGATGATGTGGTGCTGCAGGTTTTTCCGGGTTTTCCTGCAGCTGAAAAAGCAAATGCGCCACTGGAGTCAATGAAGTCGCCCCGGAGCGCCAATTAATTTTTATTGTTGTTTTTATTTCACTTTTATCGTTGTTTTAATAAAATGTTGTTTAATTCAATAACTTTCTAGACGATATGCATAAAAATAAGCTAATGAAAGTCAACTCTATACCACTAATAAAAAATATATTCAAAAAGTACCACCTCAATGTAGATCATGAAATAATTGATAACAAATGACTTATCAACATTTCCCTATTTTCATCGCTATAGAAATGAACTAAATTTTTAATTCTCCTCTCATTGTCATTTACTTATTCACAGGTCCAGAATTTTGTAAATATTGTAAATACACACACTGAAATACTGTTCGAAGATTATTTGGTAACACAATAAATAAAGAATTCCCATGCACAACCTTAGGGGTTTAATGGGTTCTCTCGATGTTTATTACTCATATCTAGGACATTTCATTCAATTGATTGTTTTTCTTTTTTGTATTCTGAAAAATCTGTATCTGAAATCGCATATGATGTATTGGAAACTCTTTCTATTGCTGGTAAATAAACATATTATTATTATTATATAAGTTATCTTTTACTGGTTGGATGGAAGAGCAGACGTTGAATTCTGCCATTTGTTCGGTTAGATTAGTATCTCCTGTACTGAGTAACCTTTCAATAAAAGCATAATAATTACTATGCTTACAAAATCTACAGTTAATACTTTACCTTTAACAACACCTGTAGAAATGCCCTTATTCTCGCGTTTGCTTTCTACTCTTTGATGAAGTCTAGGAGAAGGTGTCAGAGATCTTCTAGGCGAAATCTTCCTAGGTTGAATAGAAGATTGACTGAGACCAAAATCACCTGCCTCAACTCGTGGCGATGAGTTGCGATGAATTTTTTTTGTAACTCTTGGAGAATGAGTCCTGGCCGAATGAGATGAAGCGGCCGAAGAAGGCGACAAAAGGACATTCAGGTTACTAGGTCTCTTTCCTAGAGTGGAAGGTTCAGGTTTCCCTGCTTTCTCTGTAGTCTCACTAGAATTGATAGAGAATTTAGTAAAAAATTAAAAAGGAAGATGAAAATGTCTCCCTTGAAAGCATGAATCCACAAGATATTTGGAAACAATTTTCTATTCGAGTTTCTTTCAGAGTAGAGTAGTCGATATCTCCAGATAACAGAAATTTAATGGAATGTGGACTGATATATAATTTTCAAACCAAATAGGAACAATGCCTTAATCTCCACTTTATAAGAGATATGATAATTAAGTAATAAATAGATACAATAGAGTTGGTAGACTTATGGAATCAACCGTGTCGATATATTTCCGAAAACTTCATTGACACAAAACCACACTACTTGTTGAAAGATGGAATCAAATCCAAATAAGAACGTCTGATGCTGAATACTATCATGATATTTTGTAATTTGTTCAAAACTTAGATTTTGTTCATTGATAATGTAAGATAAATCAATCTGGTACCTCAAGACTTCACTAGGAATGGGATCCACCACATCGTTAGTATCAGTTTCCTCCACTGCCCTTGTCACCTTAACTAAGGGTGGTTTCTTTTCTCTGATGAGATAATCAATGTAAGCCTTTCTATACTCAGGTTGGCACTCGAAACGTCCTTCCATTTTCAGTTCCGGCTTCCTTCTGCAAGACACCGTTTTCTCCACGGTTCCATGAGGTATGAATTTGTCCTTTTTCTCCGTTACGTACTGACCCTAAAAAACATAATTTCATCGGCAAAGTTTCTGTATTCCGGACAGTGAAATTAATGTTCAAATTTATTTCAGTTCTTAAAATTGTGAATGAAGACGTTACGTGATAATAACAAATTCTAACTTCTCTGAAAGAATAGAAAAATGAAATTTATTCTATGTCATATCAGTTCCATAATATTCATCAATGAAATTATAAAATATGGAATCAAAGAATATATTATATGAATATCTATTCACCAGTTTTTGGTCGAATCCACATAAAACTGACAAACTGTTACAATTAGTTTTTCCGTTAACCAAATTCGCTCCCTTACGAACAACAACCTTTAGAAATCGAGCGAGCTGACCAGGGATCAACGGGGTCTTACCCTTCAACGAGCGATTCCTAGCACCGGTTTTCTGAATGGACCAAACCACCCACACCAACCCAATACGTATGTATATTATTCAAACCCAGATATTCAACAATTATGAACAGGTTCTCTTAAATATTTTTTCAACTGACAGTACAGCAACCTTGTAAATAGGTAAGTCAGCAGAAGTATTTTTTCTGAATAATCATGTGACCGAAAAAACTCTCTTATTAGTCTCTTATTAACTTCAGAATGTTCATTTTGTCTCCGTCAACAATGGTTCGAACACGGATTTGTTATTGGTGCTTTTTTTCGCACACAATGTTATATTACAAAACACTCAATATAACATAACATGAATAATACTCACAGTGATATAAAATTATTCATGTAATTTACATTATCAATTCATATCAATAGTACAATATCATTATTCAAAGACTCATGGAGAAAACAATTAAAATTCTGGTTATTGGATTTTCTTTCTCTGTTGACCAAATGAAAAATTTTGTGACCGTCCATTATGAAATGTAGGTATATCCAATGGAAATGAGTTTGTTACTGCAAATAATTTGTTTGTAGGAGTATCATATGGAAGACAATGCAGAACTTCGAACGGTTTTTTATGAGAGTAAAAATTTTGTTGAAATTATTTTTAGAGCATAGTCATATGTTGAAATCTGTTTTTCCGGTAACAAGTTGTCACATCTCTTCACCCCCACGAACGACAATCATCAGAAGTCGAAACTTGTGCGAGCTATGGATTACCAAGGTCTTACCTTTCAACGTGCGATTCTCAGCATAGTCATTTTTTTCAGCCTCAAACATAATACCCACATAATAAATAAATATTCAATTCGATTAAGAACCTGAGATTCCAAAAAGTTTTTGCTATGTCTTCAATTTAGGACATCTTCGCGTTGCTACAGTATTAGTAGAGTATCAATATGTAAATACCTTTCAATTTATCATCGATATAAACACCAAGATTTTTCATTTGTTTTACTTGCTAACTTTGAATATTGTGATATATACTTACTTTATTTTCTATCAAAAAATAACAACCTCAGTTTTCTTCAAATTGACGAAAAAAATGGAGTAGAGCCAAGATTCATGTATTTTTAAGTCCTCGTTAATTGTGTTTTCTGTAATAGTTCACTTTTCATTTGTAAACATCGTCTACTGTTTTGTATACTGTTTAAAAAATCTGTTAGAAATCTGTTTTTCCGTTTACCAGCTGTCACACCCCTACGAACGACAACCCTCAGAAGTTGAAACTTTTTCGAGCTAAGGATTAACGAGGTTTTACCTTTTAACGTGTAATTCCCAACACGATAATTCAACGTTACAAACATTCTGTATGTACACACATCGGAAAAGTCTAGGGATATTTTTAAAAATGGCAATAATTTTTTTTTAGATCGCTTTAGGGAAAAAAAGTTGACGGGTGATTATTAAACGAATGTAACTTACAACAAAATTTATTAAATGGTCAAAAATACTGAGTGCGCATATAAGCAAAACTAAAAAAAAATATTGCTCTTCTTTGGCACCCCAAAAAAAATCATAATACAAAAATAATTGGAATTAGTACAAAGTATGGCCTCCACGCTGGTTTATTACGGCTCTCTACATCTATCGTGCATCGACAAAATGAGATTGTCAATGTCTTGTTGAGGTACATTTGCCCATTCAGCGATTAAAAGCTCTCTCAATTGAAACGTTGTGTGAATGCTCCCCATATGCGGAGTAATTCTTCGTTGGAGCATATCTTACACCTGCTCGATGGGATTCAGGTCCGGTGATTGTGCTGGCCATGGCAATCAACTGGTATCAACTCCTTCGTTGGTGAGCCAGTCAGTCACTAGATGCGCGACATATGGACAAGCATTATCGTGCATTAGGTGGAATTTTCCACCAACAGAAGAATGGTGTCGAGGTACTGTCGAACTGTGAGGGAGCGATTTGGAAAAACGAGATCGATTCCGCCGCCAATCAGGATTCCGCCCCATAGCATTACTGTACCACCTCTGTATGTGTGGACTTCCTGGACGTGTCTCAAACGTTCATCATTTCCAGGTCGTCTCCACAGTCTTACTCATTCATTTTAGCCGAAAACCTACAGTTTGTAAAAAACTTGATAAAAGATTAGTTACCGTTTTTGCAGGCTTTGTTCAACCCATAGAAATCTACAGGGTAGTCGAGTGTACCAATTTAATCGAAATTAAACGACCTTATGCATTTATTTTTATGATATTTAGTATGTTATAAAAATATCCCTAGACTTTTCCGATGTGTGTATAATAAGCATAAATTCGAATACAAACACGATTCTTGAGGATTGATTGGAGTGTATGTTGTTCAATTTGCAAAATATGGGCCTAACGGATCATTCACTATCCCTTGGATTTCTATGGCTTCTAGCTTTTATCAAAGAATGTAATGTTCAACGGAGTTGAATGCTTTTTGAGGTTCATGAAAATAGCAACCACTAAATTTCCTTTATCAAGAAAACTGATTTCCTATCTTCTACGTGGGTGACTAGTATCATGTTGCCTGTACTAGAAATCGTTAATTCTTAGCTTGTCACAAGTTTCGTCTTTTGAGAATTGTCTTTCGTTGGTAATTTGCCATTATCTCTGTCGGAATCGTATCTTGATTTCTTTAATAATGGATTTTGTGTTACTTTATATGAAAAAGTATTGCACTGGACGAAGAGGGAAAGAAATCGATTGAAGAATAAGATGAAATTAGGAAAAATAAAAAGTTTGTGAAGAGTGTCAGTAGCAACCAAACTGTGTTATAACTTCAATATAAATATCTCTGAGATAGTAATAAAAACAGTACCTCTCCAGTGGAAATCAAATGACCTGTAGGCCTCTTAACAGATGGTCTTTGCCTTGGAAAATCCACAAAAGCTCTACTATATTCAGGTTTTGCGTCAATCGCACCATCCCCTTTCATATAACTCAAACCCAAGCCTTCTTTCCTACTTCTCCTACTCGCTGGTGGCTTCTTATCAAAATCATAATCTATGTATGCATTCTGTTGATGCAATTTTTTTGTTTTGCCCGAGCCATCTTCGATTGCCTGGCTTGTTCCCAGATTGGGATGTGAAGATACTCTAGTCAAAACGTTGCCTGTAGTTCCACTGTCTAAGAATCCGCTGCCGAAGTGGGAACTTGTTGATACATGCCTACGTCTTCTGCCTTCATTATCATCAGGCTTGCCATCAGAATCTCGCAGAAACGGGATAAGAGGATGCATGTTTCTTTCGTGTTGTTTACCAGCTGTTTCGTCTTCGAACATACCGCCAGGCTTCAAATTGTTGAGCGGTAAGATCAGTTTTGGCCTTTCTAAACTATTATAGAACACGTATTGATGTCTGTATTCCGGAATCAGAAACTGATCGCCTTCTAAATGCAGATTTGTCGACTTTTTTACTAGCGGTGGTCTCTTGGAAATCTCGAATGGCACAAACTTTGCCTGTTTTTCAGTGAGAATATCCAAATCTCCTTCCAAGTGCAGCTGTGTGAATTTTTTGCAAAGTGGAGCTCTATCGAATTTGTCGAAATTTATATACTGCGTGCTAGTTTCAGTCTTTGTTTCCATATCCCCTTCTAGTTTTAAAGTTGTTGGCGTCCTGCACAACTTTGCTCTTTGTTCTAACAGATATCCGATAAATTTTTCCGCGTGTTCTGTGATATGTGAATAATCTCCTTGAATTTCCAAGTTTGTGAGTCTCTTATGTAGCCGTCGCTTTCGAGAGAACTTTCTAGGTCCACCAAGGAATTCCAAAGAAGTTGATAACCTAGAGAAAAAGATCATACAATCATATTTCAGTAAAATATGGAAGTTAAACAGAAAAAATGAATCATCATAGTTTTTCCACTAATATTGTAAAATTCAAAAGAACTGTAGCTATAATAATAATGATGATTATTACCTTTCTGCGGAGCTTTTTTTTGAGTTTTTTTCTATAATAATGAGGAGGAATGCAAATCGAGCAAATGATATGATATCGATCAACGTCAAAGGCGTACATCCTCCAATGCTAACCGTGCTTCAGAAGCTCTAGCCCTTCAATAGCCTTCTTACTCGATTTCTTCAATAAGAAACAGGGCCCCACACAATCGACTCGTTTGAGAGGATCAGAAGCAAATCGATTTTTTGCTTATTATTGTTAACAATCATAATGACACAGGTAGCTTTGAGTGGGAAAATCGATCTCAACGGATAGGGAATTATCTGTTTCTGTTGAAATATGTTTTCCGTTAACCAGCTGTTAACTTCAAGTACTCTATTTTATTCGGTGACGCTTTATAGTCCTCAACCAGCCTGCTAAGATGGCTAAGGCAAAACAGTAGGCAGTTCTGTCTTCCGTTGAGGCTAAGGGTTAGAATAACTGCCCTTGCATGGTGTTTATGCAAATAAAAAGGAGGCCTAATCCAGCAGTGACGGCTCGTGCATTGGAGAACAGGGGAGGCTTAAGTCATATAGACTATATACACACAGAAAAGCCCGCCGGAGGCGCGAAAATTTTTATGTTGTTGCACGTTTTGCTTAATACCAAAGTTAGGGCATGGGCATGACAATGCGTGCAAAAGTGCATGAGGAGCTATGGACTTTATTTTAGTTTGTAAACCATTTAAATGGCCGGCCATGACCGCAGCCCCAGATTTGCGCAATTAACTTTTGCCTAAAATTATAGGTGTCACACGTACGAATTGAAAAATTAAACAAATCGTCAGCTGTGCGCCCAGATGAAACATCATGAAAACCCATAAAACGTTCTACCACATTACCATCTTTGACATATCTAAAAAGAATTGAAAGTTGTGATGTACAGGTAATATCGGTAGTTTCATCAATTTCCCATGTAAAAAAAGAAACATTTTCAATCTCCTTGCTTATATTTTCCTTAATAATATATGCCACACTGTCTATAATAAGCTCATTTTGGATGGTATTTGAGGTGCCCGAAAAAACGCTACCGTTTAAAAAACTGCTAAATTGTAAATCATATTTGCCCCATAACACGAGGTGAATTTTTTTAATCGGAGTATCCTATTTCAGACCACGTTTGATATTCGGTTTGTACGGAAAATAAAACACAGGGCCAACAAAAAAGTTTTTCTCGTTTAATGGAGCCGGTTAACCAATCGCATTTACCGTACCAACTAATATTATATCCTCGATTTTGTCGATTATCTGACGATTTAATTGAAATCACATTTGGTTGAGGCCTTCCCAGAGTTTTAATAATGTAAAATTTATTATCATAAAAAAAGACTTAAAATTATTTGTCAGCAACCAATCGACTATATCGTCAGATTTTTTAATTTCGTTCAACTTATCCATAATAAATGGAAAAAAAAATTACCAAAAAGTGAAAACCTGAAAATACCTTGAAATTGAAAGAAAACACTTTAAAAATATTACCAAAAAGCACTGCTATAATATAATACTGCTGTTTCATACACAAATAACAAATATTATAAAGAAACACTAAAACGATTTACCGGAATATTTTTTAGTCCCGGTCCGTCACGGTATCCCGTCCGAATAATTAAATAAAAAACAAACGCAGTCGTACACTAACGGAGACCAAATGGAGGCTAGCCTCCTCTGACGCTATAATTTCTTCAACTGAAATTACAAATCGGGACGTATGTCTCTGCTTGGATTGGTCTCGTGGAGTCTGTGTTTTTTAAAGCGGTCGGAGGCTTGGCTCCCTTGCAACGTATGGCGGTTTGATAGTTTATTCATTATTCGTTCATGGGCGGTGCGTTTGAGTTTTGTTGATGCAGGATACAGTGTGGTACGTACTACGTAGTGAGTGATAGTGTTTTTCGGGCATATTATGTATTTATATCAAAAATTAATGGCAAAGTAATGATACCAAAACATTTTTAGAAAAAAATAATCATAATTATTAGTCAATATCTTTTAATTTATTGCGATGAATAGCCTCAAATGTTATGTGGAGGCTAAGCCTCCCTTGCCTCCTCTGACGAGCCGCCGCTGTAATCCAGTGATGGTATACGAGCCGTAGCAAAGAATAAATGGTATCTGGGACTTGCATCTGGGATCTAGGTAATACTTTTTCGGAAGACTTTCACTAAATGGTTAACAACACAAGTTTTTTACTATGGAATATTTAATTCTGCCGTGTTCAGTGTTCAGAGTATGGTTATTGAACTGTTCAAGCACAATCACATCACGTTGTAATGGAAATACAAAACGTTGTTATGTATTTCCATTACATATCTCTTACAGTGGGGCTTGATGGATATGGGCAACACTTTCCCCAAACTCGTGTGAGCTGGATGGATCAAAAAAAATAGGAGGAAGATAATTTTCCGAACTACTCCTCCGGCTTCTAATGAGAGTTATATTAGCTAATCTACTTCGATCTTGAATAATTCTTCCGAAGGTGGTGGAAAAGGTAAATATTGATCTCATGGAAAACCCTGGGTCCGACGATCAATTGAATTTCAGTTTCTCATATGAGTAGATCAAAATAGCGGATGGACTAAGAATTTTAAGCCCCAAGCACTTACGGCCTGATGACTTCGACAATTGCGGGACTAGTCAAACATCACACCCATGCTCAATCCCTGAAGAGATGGGATGAAATCAAAGGATGCAATCTTGCCAGGATCACCCTGGGCGACCCTGGAAAGCTGACGCCGAAGAAATATCTGGCGATGCTGTGGGCCTATACTCACTCTCCTTACTCTACAGATACAGCTCTGGACCTTCTCATCCAACTTTGGTATGGTATTATCAATATTTTTCATTCTTGTTTTTTCCGCAACTATAGGTTGTCTATTCTTGTTACACCATACTGACTAGGAAAAAGTGGATGAAACACGTATTTTTTCTAGTGCTATTTTCAATCAAACTTTCTATTGGAAGTATATCAAGACACTCGATAACGTCATATTTCTACAAAAATAATGTTGTTGGTGTCACACAATTTTTAATGGGAACATCGATCTATCCTGGATATCACATCTGGAATTTCATCGAATATTCAGATGAATATTCATTAAAATGCTAAGTTCCTCGCAAAACAACGCATACAAATCGAATGAAAATTTCATCAAGCAGTAATAGTACATAAAAGTATTTCACTCACCCTACTTTCGCTTGGATCTAGAACACTGAATCAAAAAGAAAAGTGAATGAGAAAAGAATTTATGAATATTACGCTAGACAGAGGTTTCGTGACTAAACTGGAGGGAAGTCGAGCAACTTCTGAGATTTGCATTTGCTTTGAGAAGGTAAATATCTTAACTACTGAAATTTATGAGAAATCGATCAAATATTCAAAGGAAACTTTCAAGATGATTGGCTTCGGTGGGCTCATACTTCCTTTACGAACGATCATCCATTAGCAAGGGTGCGTCTATAACCCTATCTCTGTTTTTAATGGCAATAATAGTTGCAGTTTCGAGCAACATACATGCATATGTCCGATTTGGTAATGTAAAACTGTGAAACAAGGAAAAGTATGAATTTCCGGAACTGAAAGCTAAGAAATAGAGAAAAATGAAAATAAGTATTAGGTATATTTTTGACATTGCTTCTATTAGTGCTAAAACAGGGCATAAAAACTGGTTATATTCATTATTATAATTCCGTATTTCATTCCCATCCGGTATATTTCTCTAATGAATAACCTAACGTTCATAACAATGAATTCATAGAAACAAAAGTTACAGTGACTTACAACTTTGAAGTTGCGAATTTGAATTCAATGTGACATATGACATTCGAATATCAACATAATAATAATTGATATCACTTGAGTTTTTTCCCAACACCAAAACGTTATTTCAACACCTCGACACATGTTTCGATCACCTAGTGATCATCTTCAAGAGGAAGATCAAACTTTGTTTGATTTTGAAGATGATCACTTGGTGACTCCATTGAGAATCTGGGTTTATTTGGTCGACTGTGAATAGGTGGTAGCCACAATAACTCCTTGCAGATTGCGGTGGAGAGTCGAATAGACCCACTCACTTTGGAGCTAACCTAACCTCTTTTTTTGTTTCTGTGTTTTCGTATTCCATTTCTGTTCAGTCGTTCTTGTGTTCAAGGTTGATTCTATTCCTAAATATTCTCTCATGTTGTATTTCTTATTCCATCCCCTCTTGTGACGCCTCTGACTCTTCTGAGATACTTTTTCTCGACAGCTTGAATTTTGCAGTTCAGTCTCTTGGAAAAGATTCATGATTGATTTCCGAATGTCGAAATTGGCCATGTATATTGCCTTGAAAACATGAATCTTCGTTATTCTTGTAATGTCAGTTCAATTAATGAATGCTTTGTTCATTGTATAGTAGATTAACATTGTCATTTCAATTCCTAAAAAATGAGAATTGAAAATTCCTGTTTTTATACCACTTTCATTTGTAACAGACGTTACTGCAGTCCTACAAGGACATTAACAAACGAATATAGGTACAAGGAATAAAAAAACATTTTTCATGATGACTTTCTACCACGTAGTAATGGCTATATACATCAATTTATTTCTATTTTGTTGTTAATTTCGATTTCTTCACTTCCGTAACTGTTCATGTGTACTTGAAAAATGTGTGTATTTGAAAGATGTTAGTTTTTCTTTATTTACGCCATCAGTTCTCATCCCTATACAGGGTGTTGATAAGGTAGGTACCATAAATTCAACAGACGATTCTTTAGGTAATTTTAAGACGAAATGTTCATATAAACATGGGTCCGCAAATCCTTCGTTCTCAAGATACAGGGTGTTAAATTAAGAATTAAAAAAACGTTATTTGTAAATATCTTAAATATCTTTTAACTAATTTTGTTGTTATTTGGCAATGGTATTTATAACATTAAGGAGCTAATTTATCCCGAACGTGATTCAATTTATTAAGTACAGTGGCGATCGAGCGTAATTTGAACGAATATTTTTGACTTAAAAATGTACGACACTGACTTTTGTGCAATTTTTTTTTGATTACGCAATCAGAAATACAACTTTTTCATCTCTTTTCGTATCTTGCTTAGTTTATAAGAAAAAAAAGTCGACCTAATTGCATATCCCTGGACCTCACAAGGAAAAATATGAGCAATTAAATGTTTCTTTTGAAAATTATTATTTTTACAATTTTTCATCACTTATTATGTAACAATAACAACAAATATTAAATAACATTAACATCTAGACTAACGAATTGCACTAAATTAAGTGTTGGAAATGGCCTCCTTCGCCTTCAATACAACCGTCTAGCCGCCGCATTATTGAATTTCGCACTCGTCTGAAAATAACATAAATAATAATCAAGGATTGCCTTGGAAAACGATTGCATCATTTAATAAATAACTTGACAGTTGTTGTCAACTTTATAAACTTTTAATCAATAATTGTTATAGAAAGTGTGTTTAGTGGTTATTTTTCGAACGATTTTTGTAAAACATGGTTCAATTTACTAACAGTGAAATGGCATGTATGCATTTCTGTTATGGAATGGCTCACGAAAACTCGATTGCTGCAAAACACATTTACCATGAAAGATTTTCTCAGCGTGTAGTGCCTAATAGAAGAACTTTAGTACGTCTCCATGCACGACTTTCTGAAACAGGCAGCTTTAAAAGATCGACGGTTGTCATTGGTAGGCCCGCAACGGTACGAACAGTTTAAATTGAAGAAGATGTTTTAAATGAGATTGAAGTAAATCCTCATACCAGTACTCGGAAAATAGCTAAAGAACTGAATATTACCCATGTCACAGTGTGACAGATTTTAAGAGCCCATCAGCTATATCCCTATCACATGCAACGTGTGCAAGCTCTATTGCCCAGAGATTTGCCTGTAAGACTAGCTTTTTCTAATCGGTTACGTGGTGAAATCAGAAGAAATCCAGGTTCCCTAAGTCGAATATTGTTTACAGATGAAGCTCGTTTTTCTCGCAATTCAATTATTAACTTCCACAATCCACACGCCTTGATAGAAAATAATTTCCAAGAACAGTTTTCCTTTAATATTTGGGTTGGAGTTGTCGGTGACCATCTCATTGGTCACCGACAGAAGAAATTCCAGTCATGGAAAGATTCCGTATGTGGTACATGCAAGATGGTGCTCCACCACAATTTAGTGTAGTGGCACGGCAATTTTTGGAAGAAAATTACCATAATCGCTGGATTGAGAGAGCAGGCCCATGGCCACCTCGCTCGCCCGAAATGAATCCCTCAGATTATTTTCTCTGGGGGCACTTTGAAGCGTTGGTATACAAAACTGATATTCAAAGTGAAGAGGATTTACGGAATAAAATCATTAATTCATGTGACATAATACAAAGTACGCCAGGTATTTTCAGATGAGTGCGAAATTCAATGATGCGGCGGCTAGACGGTTGTATTGAAACCGAAGGATGCCATTTCCAACACTTAATTTAGTGCAATTCGTTAGTCTAGATTTTAATGTTATTTAATATTTGTTGTTATTGTTACATAATTAATAATGAAAAATTGTAAAAATGATAATTTCCAAAAGAAACATTTAATTCCCCAATTATTCCTTGCGAGGTCCAGGGATATGCAATTAGGTCGACTTTTTTTTTTCTTAAAAACTAAGCAAGATACGAAAAAAACTCAAGAAACAAAAAAGTTGTATTTCTAATTGCTCAATACAAATAAATAATAAAAATTGCACAAAAGTCAGTGGCGTACATTTTTAAGTCAAAAATATTCGTTCAAATCCCGCTCGAGCGCCACTGGACTCAATAAATTGAATCACGTTCGGACTAAATTAGCTCCTTAATGTTATAAATAGCAGTGCCAAATTACAACAAAATTAGGTGAAGGATATTTAAGATATTTTCGAATAACTTTTTGTTTATTTTTATTTTAACAATCTGTATCTTGAGAATGAAGGATTTGCGGACCCATGTTCATATAAACATTCCGTCTTAAAATTATCTAAAGAATCGTTTGTTGAATTTATGGTACATACTCAATTGACACCCTGTATATTCTCGTTCTTTCTCTACTACCATCGCTTGAACAAACATGCTAGTCCGAACACAGTACTTATTTATATTTTACTCAGGGAAGATATCACAAATTTATTTTCTATCTATTTTCTATCTCCTAGTATACTAATAAGTAGTACTTATAGGTATAATAACAATTTCTTTCATGTAGTTTGCTATTCTCATTAACGATGTGTTCAATATTTATTTTTCTAGGTGATAGCTTGAATAATTATCGATATACGTGCCTGTTAGCAGTCTCATTTTCCATGTGCTTTCCATCAATTATTTCATGAACAGAATCGCTCAAGCTTTCTGTGGAATGTTTCCTGAATGATTCATTGTAGTTCGATTGGAAATCGTGTGTTCCTTCCAATTTTAGTGAGGATTGTGGTCTTATCGGCGAGGTCGTTAAAAGATCTTTCTGAAACAGTACAAATTCATTATGTGTGAAACATGAATAATCCACTCAGTATTTTAGATGTACAGCGTGTAAATTCATAATAATAATAATGGAATAGAATATAACATCCAAGAGGCGAAGTTCAAAACTGCAGTGTAGAACACTACGGGTTTGTTCTACCACACTTAACCTCCACAGCCAGCTACGAGAACTGGCAACAAAAATATAACAAATACAAAAAACAAAATTAGAAAAAGGAATACATTATACACCTGATATCAAACAGCATTCGAATAACAACAACAAAAAATATACATATCAATAAATTATTGAGTAGTCAAGTTTGTTTACCTAGTAGTTAATTTTCAATTTTTGCCTAAAAATACCTATTTTAAAATATTTTAAATGAGGAGGAAGTTTATTGTAAACGTTGCATATCTGATACGTAAATGATCGCTTGCAAAATTCATGAGTATGTATCATGAGTATGTGCCGTACATTCAAGTACGTCAGTCCGAAAAGTAATTTTATTATATAGATAAGTCGGAATTTTATTGCAGATGACCCTATGATACATACACGCTGAGTGTAATGACCTTCGGTTTTCCATATTGAGCCAACAAGTTTCTAACAGCTTTGATGAGACTTGTTCCTAATTGTGGGACTTGGTCCATAGAGTACATCTGCATAGTTCAAAGATGAAAGAACGAGACTGTCACGTAGGGAAATTCTTGTGTTTTTAGGAAAGAATTTTCGATTTCCATAAATCAGTTCGAGTGAGAGGTAAGCTTTCTGGATTAGTTTATTGACATGGGAATCAAATCGGAGATCACTGTCTATAGTCACCAAGCCAAGATTTTTCGCTTCCTTCACAATTTCCAATCCATTAGAGCCTATACCAATATTGTATTTTCGACTTAGATAGATGTGTTATTCATCAAGCACATATTTTCAGCAAGGGATGAAAATGTGTCAAAATCATCACTGATCCGCCTATTAGAGTCATTTACCCTGTGTGGTTCAAATGAATAATAGATTTGAGTGTCATCGGTATAGATATGTACACTGCAATACTGAAGGCACTAATTGACTGGTGTATATCATGAATAGGAGAGGGCCAAGAATTGATCCCTGTGAAACACCTGTTTTAAAATTCAAAGGTGTGGAATGTACTTCATCAAGAACAACTTCCTAACGTCTGTTTTTTAGATAGTTTCAAAAAAATAGAGCTGAATCATCTGACAAACCAATGTAGTGCAAGATTGACAATAACAGCTCATGATCAATGGTGTCAAATACCCTGCTGAAATCTAGAAGAGCCAGGACGGTACATTGATTTCGATCACTCGAGCACTCACTGTTCTGTTGGTAGTAGTTTATAACTATGTATGAGCAAAGCTGCTGTTCTTTAATTTTTTCTATTACTTTAGAGCAAGCAGGAAAGATGTTGATGGCCCGCAGACCTTTCAGTTCTACTGGATTATTGTTTTTGGGTATTGGAGTTACCAATGCTGATTTCCACATAGTCGGAAAAACATTCTTTTCTATACAAAAGTTGATGATGATATGACTTAAAGAAGGAAGAATAAAAGGACAATACAATGAGATCATTTTTATACTGGGCCCATAACATCCGATGGAATCGAGTAAGGTATGGTTATTATATTCATCAAGTGAAACATTTGATAGTGGGGGTTATTGAAATAGTTTTTACAAAAAGCCATTGATGTGGTTGGCATCGTTCGAGTTGGCAGATCATGTTTTTTTTGAAGTAATTATATTATTATTTTTCAGTATCGACCAACATTGTTAAGGGTTTGGTTGATAAATAGGATTTTTTCTTTCTCATGATAGCTTGTGTAGTGAAATTACGTAGATGTTTATAATATACTCGTTGCTCATCAGTTGGTGATTTTTTGTATTTAAGTGAAGCTTTATCTCACAATTTCAGTAAATTTTTAATTGGATCTGTTAGCCACGGTGCCAGGGGCTTTGTTATTCTAGAGATTATAAAGAAAGCATGCCGGTTGAATAATTGAGTTGAATTGTCAACAAGAATGTTTAATTTCATGTCCACTTCGTCAGTTTCATAAATAATGAAAAAAGGTATTCTATGCAAGTCAAAATTAAACGCTTCATATTTGAATTTTTTTTAAATTTCGATATTGCAGGAATTTCACCAGTTCAACTGTAAAATCTACTTCAATACGGTAATATGTGAGAGGATGATCAGAAATATCTACATCCTCAACACCCTTCTCTACTAGCCTTTCTAGATTCCACACTGCTATTAAATCTATAAGCAAAGAGCTCTGGTGGCCTATTCTAGTCGATGATTCAATTATTTGACTTGGTTGATGAGTTTCAAATATCGATAACAGGTTGCTCATATATAAGTTTTCCAAACATAATACATCTAAGTTGAAATCACCCACGCAAACAACTTTGGGAGTGGCTACAGATACCTCGTCGATAGTATTCTCGAATTCAGACAGTGGTACGTTTTGGACGAAGCCCTACGTAACCTAGTGCTTCAGTTTTGTTCTTGCTGATACAGAAAACAGTTATAAATGCTTAAAATCTGTAGATTTACGTGGGACACCATAGTTTCAAATCACTAGCTCAAAACTCCTTCGAAATTCAGCCTTCATAATCGATGGAAGAAGCTTCTTAGCCAAAACATCCGGATAGATAATATATATCCAAACTGTATGTGAGAAATTCTATCTTCATACGATCACTTCTGTAGAAATCTATAGCTTCAAAAGTAGTCCGACTCTGCGCAATACCATCACTCCTAGAGCTAAGTGTTTCTTAACAGTTTTATAGGAATAACATAGCTTAAATACGACAAAATATTTGCTTTTGATATCAAATTATATTATAGAACGACGCCATTTTAAAATGATAACAATTCGGTAAGCTAACATCGGATGAGTTGAAAAAATTAAATACTACACATATAGATAATTACAGCTGAAAAGTACATAGATATTATAAGATTATATTATTTAGAACAAACTGAGTTGTGTTTGCTACTAGAAAAATCAATACGTAGAAAGAGGGAATTTTTATATATTTAATAATTTTTTCTGGAAGAGTGCCGCAGTTAAAATGTCAGTCTTCAAAGCACAATGTGTTTGACAGTTTCATGAGTACAAAAGTGAAGTTATCAAAATGGCGTCAACCTTCCTATTTGTTAGTTTTTACTTGGTGACATATCTATTAACTTTTCCTAGTGTGTAATACAAAATTGCTTTTTGTGTAAAAACATTTTGAACACTTTTTGATTTTATTGTTATCATTTCAGGCTGCATTATATTTTTCAAAGCTTGGAACTACTGAAAAAGTATAAGTATTTTTACAAAATTACTTTTTAAGAGTGTTAGAAATGTTTATAAAACTGTTTTGTAGTGTTTGTAAAAGGTCTTACAAAATAATGATAAAGACTATAATATTTTATAAAACGGTGCCAATTTCTCAGTTACAGCTGTTTTATAAACACATTGAAAATATTTCTAAGAGAAATACAGTTTTATAATTTGTTTCTCCGAAACTTTTTCCCAACTATTATGAAATATAAAATTGCTAGTTGGGCATCCGATGAAAATGTTGAGAAAGTAAAGAAAATTGTTATAGAGAATAGTCGAATCACTATTAGAGAAGTTGCTGAGGATGTCGGCATATCAGTTGGCTCATTCCATGCAATTTTTTCGAAAATTTCGGGCATGAAGCGTGTGACAACGAAGTTCGTTCCAAAATTGCTGAAATTTGACCAAAAAAACCGTCGCACGGGTGTCGCTCAGAAATTGTTGACTTATTATTTTGAAATTATGCGCCACTTGTAAAAAGCAATACGGCTTTTGGATCACAATAATGCACCTGCTCACTCCTATTGCTTGTTTGTAATTTTTTGGACAAAAACAACACCGTGAACGTGTCTCAGCCACCGTATCCACCAGATTTTAACCTCTCGACTTTTTCTTGTTTCCAAGATTGAAGAGACTCATAAAAGGACGGCGTTTTGCGACGGTTGAGGAGATAAAAACCGAATCTCTGAGAGAGTTGTATTTATGAATTTGGCTTATAAATAAAATAAATCATTTCATATTTTGTATGGACTAAGGCAAATAATTTCTTCCCGTTCTCAAAACCTAAAAAAAAATGAACAATTTCACTTTATTTAATTCAGTAAATGTTTTCAAAATACCCTGGTCCGTGACATCGAATTTGAAAAGTATTATATCCCTAATAGACTTAGAATAGGCTAATGAATATCTACAATAACAACAAACGCCAATAGTCTCTGAAATACCACTGCATCGACACGTTTCTTACATCTGCAAATGCTCACCTGTTCTTCATTCAGAGTCTTCAGTGTTTCATAAAAATTCTTGAATCGTCTTCTATATTCGGTTTTCAAAAACTGAAAAGAGCCTTCTCCTATTTTTAAATTGTCTCCCACACAGGCAATACCTGAGAAAGAATATGGTACTTTTAGTTGAAGGGTCTAGTCATTATGTGGTAACAACCACATTTCTTCCACCGTTTTTGAATCATTATTTTTCACCAACTATTAATTTTCAGTTAATAGGATCTAAGTATTGATGAAAGGTTTTTGTTACCAAGTATACAAAAAAATAGCCCTCTTGAGAAGAAGACACTTTTCCATTGGTAATTTCTAAGGTAGCAAGGACACTTTTACAACAATGCTTTTTTATGTACCGTTACAAACAAAATTGTTCAACTTGATTATTTTTTTTTCATTCTAATGTATTTTCTAACAAACCCCAGGTTTTTTTGACTCTCTATTTTTACAACGCTTCAATATAAACTTAAGACAATGAAAGCAAGGCCGTAATTTGGGAGGTTACAGGGGTCAGACCCTCCTCTTCCCCAAAACGTCAATGAAAATATTATAGAACTTGTTTTTAATATCACCAAAAAAACATAATGAGATTGATGGACTCTTGCTGAGAAGACACCAAAACTTCAGGTTACTCGCACTTCAATAAATAGAAGAATAATTTCGTCAAAAATGACGGACACTTAGGAATCTGAGGTAGAGGTGAGTTTAGGTTAGGTTAGGTCTAAAGTGAGTGGGTCTATTCAACCCTCCATCGGCACTCGCAAGGGTTTATTGTGGCTCACATTTATTCACACTCGACCAAATACACCCAGCTTCTTAACGAAACCGATCAGTTTGTATGGTGAGTGGTCTTTCAGGTCAGATGGTAAGAGTACAACTCTGCCGAACTCTTAAAACTTGATTCAGCCCCCAGCGGAGCAGGCACAAAGTATACGCTTTGCTTGTTTCATCAGTTTCCAAACAGAAGCGACACACACTATTTTCCAACAGTCCGAGTCTCTGCATATGATGATTCAAATGACAGTGATCTTCAAGAAGGCCTGTTAGACATCGTAGTTCATCCCTTCTGTAGTCCAACAACTGTTTGGTATCAAACTTCGAAGGGTGAATAAACGCCTTGGAGTGAGCCAATTCTGGAAGATTCTGCCAGAAGTTTATAAATCTTCTTGCCATTCAGGTGTTCAATCTTTGTTTGGCAAAGCCTAAGCTGATGCCAATGACAGATGCTGCTTGCAGCATCCTCCTTTGCAAGGGAGTCAGCAGCCTCATTGCCTTCCAGGCCAGTATGGCCAGGAATGCACACCGGAAACAATCTGTTGAGTCTTTCTATCGAGACGAGTCGTTTTTGGCGATTTGCTACCAATTTAAACGTTGCTCGGTAGGATCCAAGAGCTTCCAAAGCCGCTTGACTGTACGAGAATATTTTTATTGACTTGTGTATGATGTTGGATTCTTCCAATCTCTCCGCACACAATTCAACAGCGTAAATTTCCGGTTGAAATACAGTCACTTAGGTTAGGTTAGGTTAGATTAGGTTAGGTTAGGTTGATATCTCTGTCCTGGGTCTGCGACTGAAAACGCCTGCACCAGAACCGGAAGGTGTTTTTGATCCATCTGTGAACCAACAACTATCTGCTCTTAATATTTCCTTCTCCCGGTGGATCCAGTCCTCTGTACTCGGGAACAGTACTTTATAAGGCAGTTCGTAGTTGACAGCTTGAGGCATAAACTCAAAGGTCATTTCCAGAATGCTGTGACTTCCAGTGTCAACCAACAGATTGTTGCACTCTGCACTGAATTTATTTGAGCAATTGGCAATGTGCACAAATCTATATGCAGTCCATCTAGCCTCTCTCTCTCTCTCTCTCCATAAAAATGTGGAGGGGAGGTAAATCTACTGCGGTAGAGGACTCTTTACCACAGATACCCGAATATTGAGTTCGCATGTGGAATTGAAAAAACGAAAAGTTACCATTCTTGTATGTCTTAGTGATTGAAAGTAACCAGAGTCTAGAATTTGATATCTGTGGAAAAAATACCAGTACTCCAAGATATATTCCTGATAGCTGACATCATCATTGTCCACAGCACACATGAATGAATTCAAACAGATACACTGAAGAATTAGATCGCATTTTTTTAAAGTTGAACCTGAATGTAGCTAGCCTTCCAAACTTCTTGCCCACTTCAACAAATAAGCTGTGAGGACTGAGACAAAAATATATCGGTGATATTAAGCCAGCTAATAAAATTCATTCCAGAGAACACGCAGCATATATCCGATAGCAGGGGAGCCCACGATGCAAAATAGGGATTTACTCGAGCGTCATTGAGACATATAAGGTTGCAAAGCTTAGATGATAAGAAGAAACACATTTTATATAATATATACCCTTTCATCGGTGGGGGAAGCGGCTATAGATTTTCAAATATTTAAAAAAATACTGTTGCATGGACATACTCGAGCGCATCAGATATTGATAGCATCAATGTCCTACGATTTTTAATAATGTTGGTATGTTAATCTGATTGTTTGCATGATGAGGATTAAAAGTGAAAAGAAAATAAATTTAATCGAGCGCGTCAGATTTTCTAAGGGGGTCTTAAGTGCAACAAAAAAAAGCTCTCATTCAATAATCTGACGATTTCGATCTGACGCAAACTTGAGGTCATTATTATAATGTGCAAAAAAAATTCTCCATTTTGAAATATTCAAGCGCGTCAGATTAAGATATATATGGTTCATCTTTATGTTTCAGACGTGCTGTCTCATAATCTGACGATTATCTAGAGGGATTCGCTTAATCTGACAAAAACGATATTTTTTTTTTATTTTTTTCAATTCATTGTACTTAATTAATTGAAAAGCTCAGGAAATAGCATGCAAATAAAAAGTATATGTTTTTTAAGTAGAATACTTGCATTTATAAGAAAATATTTTTTTAAATGCTCAAAAAATGTTAATTTCTCATAATCAATTGATTAATTAATGAAGAAAAGAGAAACGAAACTCTCTGTTTTTTACCACTTCTATTTGTAACTGACTTACTGCAGTTTCGTATAAGTATTGTATAAGTTTGAAAATGTCCTTATAGGATGAAACTGCAGTAACGTTAGTTACAAATAAAAGTGGTAAAAAACATAGAAAGTTTAATTAATCTTTTCTTCATTATGATTTCCTACCACGTAGTAACGGCTACATCCATCAATTAATTGATTAATTAATCATCATCTTCATCTTCATCACAAACGAGTCTCTGTGATCAACTGTAATGGCGTATGGCAACAGAATTCAGAGTAGAGACGGAGTGAGAGAGTAATTGATAGAGAAAAAGTGAATAGAGAATAGAGGAATAGAAACTCGGAGAGGGAAGTACAGGTATCAGCTGCAAACTTTATCGACGAATTTTTGTTATTTCGCTTGCGGAAATCGTCAGAATATATAATTTTTGTTATCCTTGAATTATTTCCTTCGAAATAAAAAAAATTAGCTACGCTCGAGAATGTCGAAATGACGTTATTTTTTTACAACTTTGCTGCCCTCCCCTTCCTGTACGTCACTCTCAAATTGTCAGATTACTGAAATATACACCTTTTAGCAGGTAATTAACTCACCCTACCTTAATCTGATGCGCTCGAGAATTTCTGATGATCAATTTTTTTTTACTAATCTGATCCTTTATCCCTCACAGGCAGCCTTATATATGGGGCTCATATTTGGTGGAGGTTCTTAACCGCGTACAAGGTATCCCCCTGTATATTGATCTGCCGCTCTTTAGTAAATCCCGAAATCTCCGCTTGGGCTCCCCTATTACGATATGTTAAGAATTAGTCTACTTCGTCACCTGAAGATGCCAACGTGGTTAGGGAAAAGCGTGTCGAGAAAAGTGTTGCAGTTCTGTTGTTTAGAATCAGTGGTTGTTTTGGGCATGAAAATTCGATTTCACAGATAATAAACTGCCAAAAATTCCCTTGACTCGAGAATTGGGTATGTGATGGACTTGTTCAATACTTGAAAATCCATAACGTATACGCCTGAGGAGAAGGAAAGAATGCCGTATACACTTTCCATTAATAAATACAACTCACTTGGTTTTCTTTTTCTGTACAACCATAGTTCATCTACAGTAATGTTTGGTGGAAAAGCAGATCTCCAATGTTCATCCTTCGAATCCTGAACGTTTTGAACTCTCTTCTCGCTGAAAATAATTAGAAAGTTGATCAGAAAAAGTAGTCATTACTTTTGACTATGAAAGCAATTGTCTTATGCTATAAATCTCCACCATTTTGTTCCTGCTCTCATATTTATATCCCAAGAAATTTTTCGGTACCAAAATCGACAATGTCAGACTACAGAAAAATTAGAAAATCTATAAGCACAGCTGTCATTAACTTTACAGTTACAAAAAGGTTATACTGTGGTAACTTGGCATCTTCATCTTACAAAATGGTAAAAGAACTGATCTGCCTCTGTCATCAATCACTTCCAGCCTACATTCATATGAACATTAAATTATACGAATATCGCTTTTTCTTTGTTGTTTCGAAAGTACTTTCGAAACAACAATGTTTGAAAGTTCATGTTAAAGTAGTTGTTTGAGGAGGGCTTTTTCTTACAATTTGTATCTGAGAGTAAGTTCTGTATATCACTGAACTTAATTTCTTTTTTTCCATCCTTCGGAAGTTGAAAGCCAAGAAGCTTCTTTTCCAAAAATTAATCTTTCGTAAAAAATATATCCCTTTCAATTTGAGGAAGAAAGGAAAAAACAGATGATAGAAACTAGATAGCACTGGAAACAAAGTATACCCACAGCAGAGTCAAGAATTGGTCAAAAAAGTGCAGGTGAATCAAGAAAGAACGACTGTAAAGACGAGGCATGTATGAAAAGTCAGAAGATGAAGAACTGCTGAAGAGAAAGAATGACCCAATTTCTATCACCAGTTTGATAGAACAGTTATCAGGATTGCCAGATGACGAAAATTATTGTAGACTCCCGAAATGTTTGACAAAGGACGAGAATTTTGAAAAGTAGATTTTAAAGAGCTGACTGTATAGTCCAAAGTTTGGACAGTGAGGAAAAAAAGTTTAACTTTTTATTCATGGAGAGTAACGATTAAGTTATATATTCCTCCGGAATATGATGACTAAAAAGTATTACAGTTGAAAGAGAAAGGTATAGAAAGTATTGAAAAATTCAAAACAAAAACCCAAAGTCCAGTTAGAATTGAATAGGTTCCTCCTGTTGAATTGTTTTTCTTATGATGGCAGTTATAATTAGTTGGAAGATTTCCATTGAAGTCATGAAAATATCAGAATTATTTTCTTTCAAGCATCATTATGATATAAATAATCAATTTGCGAAAATTATTATAATCCTATTTGTTGATATATTCAGGAAGCACTGTATGTACTAAAGCTAGGTGTAAACAAAAGCAAGATTGTATACTCAAACACACGTTGTGATTCTGTGATATTATATGAAAGTAAAGTACATAATAATATTCTTTTCAATACTTTCGTTTTCATTTCAAATCATGTTCGATACTACAGCATTTTTTGTGAAATTCACCTCATGAGTTCTATTTAGGTGTGGAGTAAAATAATGTTTCAATTGTCATTGCCTCTAGTTTCCGCCTCTTTCAGATTTTTTATTTTATTCGATTTACCATTATCTAGATTTACTGTAACTAATTTTAGCGGTTGCCGGTGTTTGCCAAATGAAAGTGTTCGATAAAACTTCACATCAAGTTCACTGTGTTCATAGGGAGTATTCCGGCACGCAATTTCAGGTGATTCAATTTATAGCGAGGCAGATAAGAAAAGTGGAACGGATTTATTTATGGTATTTTCTGGTCTAGTTTTTGATGGATTCTTTTCAACATTTTAAAAACCAGTAATTTAGGAGAATTTTGCTCGATGTAGAATAAACTGATGTTTTTCCATCAATTTCTTCAACTGCAAAAGATATTAAAGACAAATTGATGATGACAATAAGGGGTCACCTGAATCAATGATGAAAATGGCAAATAAATTACTCAGAAATTTTAACCTCAAAAATACATACTCCATACAACTATTTTTGAAGATCTTCAGTTGTTGTGAAATTGGCCGCGGTGGTAGTGCGCCCGACTCACGATCGCAAGGTCGTGGGTTCGATTCCTGCCTCGACCAGATATTTTTCTCGATAGAATTTATCTGGATGAAGCTGGGATGATTCTGCAACCATGTTAGGAATCGCACGTTAAAAGGTAAGACCTCGTTAGTCCTTAGCTCGCACAAGTTTCTCAATTTCTGAGAGTTGTCGTTCGTATGGAGGCGACAACTGATTAACAGAAAAACAGATTTTAAAAGAGATTATAAAACAGATATGTGAAAATATGAGACCTTTTCAATAAAAATTAATAATTTGCAGATAAACATGAACCCGGGAAAATCTACACGTCAAATTTCATTGGCTTTTCAAACGAACCAAACTCGGTGAAATTTTGATCCAATAACTCGAACATAGTTCGATGTGGTTGTCGTCTATCGGGATACAAGTTTAAATACATTTCCGATGTCCTAACACTGTTTCTATCGTTTTTGAAATGAATTTGTATCATATCTCTTTTTTCTTCATTCGTGAAAGCCATTTTTCGCCAAAAATTCAAAGACTTGTTCAATAACAAAATGTCATTGAGTATAACAAATTCAAAGTCAAATTTAGAAACATCAAAGTCTATTATGATAAGAATTAATTTTTTTCATTCAAAAAGAATGATAGCTTATGATACATCATTGAAAAGGTGAAATCTGATTCTATTCAAAACAGATAGAATCCAATGTAGCGTCTTTAAGAAAAAATAAAGTTGATGATGGTGGTCGGAAGACGAAACGTCGGATAGGAAATCTAAAAACACCATTATGTAGCAGAGAAAAAGTGGCAGAATACAATGTAGCGCCTTTGAGAAAAAATAAAGTTGATGATGGTGGTCGGAAGACGAAACGTCGGATAGGAAATCTAAAAACACAATTATGTAGCAGAGAAAAAGTGGCAACGTGAAAGTGCAATTTATTTTCGAATCTTTCGAAAAATAAAGCCAGAAAAAAATAAAAACCATTTTCCGAAATTTCTGTTTTTTCCGGATATTTCCTGATATACTCGGAATTTCAGAACTTTCTCAACGGCATATTGTTAGTCAAGTAAATGCGCAACTTTGCCCCAATTCAACCATCTTCGTATCTCTCATAGTTTCCGAGATCCCAATGCTGAGGATCGAGTTTGAAACACTCTGTATACATCGGAAATAATAAACATACTTCTAAATGAACTAATAATAACATTGAGAGGTGAAACTTGTGTCAAGATAAGTCATAAAAAAAGATACATCTTTATAAATACAATTTCATATATATTCATATACAAAGTATATGAACATATGTGAAAAGAAGAAAATAACAAATGAATACATAAATTTAAAATATGTACTTACTAACAATACATGAATTGAATAAAATTATACAAAAATGTAGTTGTTTTCAGTGTTGATTGAATTCAATATGCAAGTCTACTGATTAAAGGACAATTAGGTTAACCCCTAAATAAACTGTAAATTGAATACTAGGAATGATAGTGCGTGCAATTTCACCATAATGAATAACACGAACGTGCCTCACATGATTTATATCAAGATAGTTATATACGTCAACGATGTAATATCAAATTGACAATATTAGACTACTTACATTTAACAGTAGATCAAGCTGAATGATTTTCCTACGAATACATTCACAATTCTTTGAAACGTTTTAAAATTAATTCATACGACTTTACTTTCCTCGTTGATTGTTCTCCACTGTATACAGGGTGTAACTGAATAAGTGTAAAACATTCAAGGAGGTGAAAAAAAGATAGGATCTTTCATATAAAGAAACTTCATTGGAGCATCCCTTGTTAAGATACAGCCCCTTAAAGGGGGTACATAAAATTTGTATAACAATTTTTTTCACAAGCAGTGAAAAAGTTACAAACGCAACCCCTAAAATTTATTTCCAATGTAACTTTTTGTCTCATTATTTGTTAACCATTTGAAAATTTATTCCCGATAGCCTGTTTCGTTCTAAACAAAAAATGTCTCTTGGGTTTTTTGCCCAAAGTAAACCAGTTTGCAGCAAAAAGTTATTTTACGAACAACAACAGAGACACATCGTCATAAATGCGAACTGGATTTATTGTTATTTCGTAGTGAGTACCTGCATTAAACGATTAAAGGGTAATAAACAAAACTAATTCATTAATAACAAAACACACTATATGTAGAAATTATAGAAAATGTTCAATATGTCTACCTTCAGACATCACGCATGCGTCTAGACGTCGGCGCATTGAGCCACGTATTCGCTCAAATATTCCTGGAGTCTCTGATTACCCTGCACGCATCGATGATGCGGTTTCTTAAGTCCTCTACATCGCGAACAGGAATATGATAAACCAAATGCTGTGAATGGCCCCAAATGGAGAAATCGAGAGGATTGAGATCCGGGGATCGAGCGGGCCAGTTCTGTGGTCCTCCTCGACCTATCCACTAATTTGCATATGTGTCAGTTAAATTCTGACGTGCTACTTGACTGAAATAGGCGGGAGCCCCATTATGCATAAAAACATATCCCTTCTGACGCCCAAAGGAATTTCCTCAAGAAGTTTTGGATGCACTTCTCTTTAAAATTGAACGTATGCCTCACCATTCAATCGAGGAGGTAGAAAATGAGGCCCAATAAAATCATCCCCAATAACTCCAAGCCACACGTTAAGAAAAAACTGTTCTTGATGGTTAGTTTCGACAATTGCGTGAGGGTTTTCATCGCCCATATGTGGTAATTATGAAAATTAATGATCTTGTCCCGACAAAAACTACATAGTCTGTGAATTCTATCGTCTTCAGAAAGTCGCAATTTCTTCTGATCATTTCCAGCATCCAATTGCAAAACTCAAGATGGTTCGGAAAGTCTCGCGGTAATAGTGCCTGTACTCGTTGCAGATGGTAAGGGTACAAGAGTTGTTCCTTTGAAATTCGAAATACCGTCATATGATCAACATTTAGCTGGAAAGCAATCTTTCTAGTACTGGTAGTAGGTTGTTCTTCAATCAAATCAAGTACTGCTTCCTCAAGCTGTCGTGTTCATATTTCTCGATGGTGACCACAATCCTGCGTTCTTTTG